CACCACCACTTTCATTATCATATCCACTAACCTTGGTAGTTTGTATTCGTATTTGCAGGGAAGAAGTGTAGGAGAAACATCTCGAAAGGTACGTTATAAGTATCTAAAAACCCTAACCCTTCTGAATTTTTTCGTTCAATGATCTGTTCTTCATTTTAATTACTTGTTGAAGATTCTGCGACCTCTGTTTGATCTATTCCAAGTATACGGCCATAATTTTTTAGGGTTTAATTTGGGTAGAGATCGATCGGCTATATAAAATAACGATTATTTATTAATTGACGATGATGTTGTAGATTTTTGATTGTTAGCTTATCCAAAAAGATTAACTTTAACTCAGATGGCATTTAAAAAGGCTACCTTGGAGCATATGAGCTTCAAGGTTGCTTTTTTCACTGATCCAAATATGCAATAGCTCTTTATCTTATTATTAGGGTTTACAGGTCCTACAATTCTAAGGAAACTGTGGTCCTTTACCTCCTATCGGGTGAAGAATCAGATTCTTTTCCCCTCCATGAACACATCCCCACATCCATTTGAGAAAGATAACTCAAAACCATTGTGTTTGCAAACTATAATTATAATTTTACGTCCCGAGAACATTGAACTATATACTGTTCTGTAATGTTTACTGGGTTTTTATTGATAATGGTTCACTAGTTTAATGAAGTAAATATGTCTTTGGAGCATCTGTGTGGTAATAGCAAGCATGAATTCCCTTTTTACTGCTTGATGTTATGCTTCAAGAGTGGATTGATTATTAACTCTCTTCAGGTTTATCAATGAATGATGATGAAATTATAAAGGGAGACAAACTCATTTTGAGAGGATTGAAGTTCCATGGTTTTCATGGGGTGAAACCTGAAGAGAGAAAGCTGGGTCAGAAGTTCTTGGTAGATGTAGATGCCTGGTTAGATCTCTGTCCATCCGGTAAATCTGATGACTTGTCCGACACTGTCAGTTATACTGAAATTTATCGGTGAGTAATAACTTCAATTTTCTTCATTGCTCTTATAATACTAGAAGCAGACTATTTTACTAGAGTTACAGTAAGTAGAGATTACCCATAAATGCTTTGGCTTTCAAAATTCCATATGGTGTTTCACTAGAAAGTACAAACATTTGGCTTAGTTCACTATGCATGATTGATTATTAGCTCTTTTAGATAATAGTTCAGAAATTCAATTAGTTTATCTAAGAATGGTGATTGATTCTTTGCTTTCCGAGAAAAATAGTGCAAGCCTAACCAGGGCAGCAATCCTCAAGGTTTAGAGATCTATATAAGCTGAATCAATATTGGTAGATAGTGGATACCAAGTCAAGACACTCAAAAGTGACTTTGCCCTCGATACGAAGGATACTCTCTCTATATTTTTCCTTATATATCATGATATAACCTATCAATGCTATATAGGTTGAATATATATTTATACTTTTGAGTATTAAATATAGGATTTTCTATGTCCACTTGGACAATTTATTTAAGAACAGAAGGAAAATGTTCGTGAAGAGGGAAAAGTGATCTGTTCATCATTGATTCCAAAAAGGTCCATCCTTAGTTTATTAGAGTTCTCCAACTTCCGTTGGTCCTAAGCTATGTCTTTTGTGAAACTTCCCACTTAGAAACAGCCCTATATGTTATGGATTCTACCTAATAGGACTTGTAAAGGCATCACTACTGTTTTTTCTCACATAGAACATAGGAACACCTTTAGGAAAGAGGTGAAGAAGATTAATCGGGATTGACTTGTAGCTTAATTACGCGATGTTCTGCACCGTAGCCATGAGCTTGGGGCTTCATCAGGTTATCCATTGGAAAAAGGAGAAAAAAAACAGGATTGATGCTGGCCACTTGAGCCCATCAATATCAAAGTATATGTACGTGATATGTGTAGTGACAAATCCATGCCTAATTAGAAATGGAAAATAATCCCATCCTTGCGGGGTGCCCCAAGGACTGCGTCTTGCCCTCTTTTTCTCCCCACGTGTCCCCTTTTAAACTCCCTTTAACCGTGGTTAAGATTCACTAACCTTAGAGTTCATATTTTTAACTTTGGATTTTGAGAAAAATAAATATGGTTAAAAGTATTAACCACAGTTTAAAGTAACCTTATAGTTTTTTTTAACGCCTTGGCAGACCACATTCATCTTTCCTCCATTTGCATGTTTAACAATTTTTCTTTAATATATATATTGTGTACATAAATGTGTATGTAGAACAGTAGAAGTCTCATGTATGGTGTTTGTAGGTGGTGTTTCATGTGTATATAGTATATACATGCATGGTTTTTCACTTGCTTTTTAATCAATACATTAATGGTCTTTCTGTGGTCTCTCTGTATATTTGTACCTTCCAACACATTTATCTTTGGTGGAGAGGCAGCATAGTCAAAGAAGTCTTGGAGGGACCACCTCAGAATCTTCTCGAGTCCATGGCTCATCTCATTGCATCCACCACCCTAAGCAAGTTCACTCAGATATCTGCTGTCCGTGTGAAGGTTGGGAAACCTCATGTTGCTGTTCATGGCCCTGTCGACTACTTGGGAATCGAGATTCTTAGACACAGAAGAATTGATGTACAAAACTGAGCTTGTACTTAGAAGCTTTCTTGGGGATTTTGTCTCTCTACTTTCTATATTGTAAGTTTGGATTTTTCTTTTTTGTTGGTTTGAATTGGGTTAGTTCTCAACATCAAATAATTTGTTTGTGTTATCTCTGTGCTTAAGTAAAATTCGAGTTGTTCTGTTGTGCTTTCTCCATGTTGGGAAAGGATATAATTATTTTTTGTTATTTAGGTTTAGGCCTTGAAAATATTTACCTTTTTGTAAATTATTATTATTATCGCAGTATATTTGGGTGCCATATTAACTGCATTGGTGGGACAATCTGAATGTATTTACTATTTCATATGACTAGTAATGTACTTTATAATTACGATCACATGTTATTGGAACAGAATTCCAAGATGGATAGCAAATCCTGAACAAGCCAGGGTCATGTGCCTTACCCAAATGGCCCAGGATCCTCTCGAGTTCAAACCGGGGGGACTCTCTCCGGTTTGAACCCCTAGAGGTCGTCACGTGTCTCCTTTGACACCTCTTAACCATGGGTAAGGTTCACCCCCCTAGGGTTCAACCACCCATCCTTGGTTTTTTTTTTTATATATTAATTATTATTTTTTAAATTTAAAAAAAAAACTGTTTTTAGAGTTTTTTTAATATTAAAAACAGTTTTTAATTTTAAAAAAAAGAACTAATATTAAAAAAAAAAAAACCAAGGATGGGTGGGTGAACCTTACCCATGGTTAAGGGGTGTCAAAGGAGACACGTGGCGACCTCTAGGGGTTCGAACCAGAGAGAGTCTCCCCGGTCTGAACTCGAGAGAATGAACTCGAGAGAATCCTGAGCCTACCCAAATACTTGTGTTCTGGAACACTAATCTTGTTTAGTCATTTTGTTCTGTTAAAAGCCGAAACTTTGGTGAATCATGTGGGATTAAATCTTCTTTACTGTCTCCATCTACGTAGTTTGTGGCATTCTTGGACTCTTTTAGAATTTTCAACTTAAATCAATTCTGTAATTTTTTTCACTTCCAAATGTTATTGGTCTTGGCTGGACTTCTTCAAACCATTTAATCAACTTTCTCTTATTTTATCAACTATTAGAGCTATTCCTAAATGCGCTCAAAAGGGTGAAATTTGTGATCGTTTATAACAAGAATTGATCAATGAAATTGTATATCTCAACTGTCAACCATCTACTATGTTTCAATCATTTGGACGGTTGAGAAGATCAGAGCAGTAAAATGATAAAAGGAATATATAGAATTGAATGGTTTCAATCATCAATTGGCATTGAACTTTGTCCCATTTAATCTCCTATATGTGTTTCACTGGATGCTGGTGGGCAATGATCCATTGCACTCGCTCTTGTGATGCTGTGCTTAGGGTCCGTTCTTTTGCTGAGACTTGTAAATCTTTGCACCTTACACTTTTGTTGTGGTAGTAGTTGGGAAATTTGAGTCACTTTGTCAATGTTTCTAACAAATGTAATTATTGTCATCATGAGATTTCAAGTCATAGTTTTTTATGAGATTTGAAATCATTCATTTTACTGCATTTGAAATCTGACGGGAATTATATCGAGATGAAAAACACTATGCACCTAGTTCTCAAAAGAAAATATATATTATCAAATGACAAGACTTGCAACGTGCTGGACTTTACAAGTCTCAGCAAAAGAGCCAGCCCTTATAGAACAGAGCATTCCCATCCCCAACATTAGGGAGGAAATTAGGAGTTGAGCAAAGTGGCGAACAGATGGGGGCCTAGTTGGTGGATTGATATAAGAGTACAGGTTTTCCGGGCCTCTAGTCACAAACATGGTACATTTTCAATTTGGCGCACATTTTCATCATCCTAAGTCATGCAAACAATGCGCCACATTCGACATTAGGCGTGAAGTAACCAAAAAAAAATAGCAGTATGATCCTAACAGCTCAATAGCCAGCTATTTGAAGGTCTACAATAAATTTTGATCCAGAATGAAGTTTGATACTATGAAATGGCATCTGTACTAACAACCATTTTTCCAACAGCAAACTAGTCACTGTTTCTGCATGATGTTTTCCAAGATACAGGGGAATTTTCCGAAATGAGTGCATCGCGAACAGCCGGGAACAGGGCCTGCCAATGCCAACACCTCAGTGGTTAGCATTCTTCATCTATCATTCACCAAACAAGCAGTGAAATGAAGTTGCATCTGGACATGCTACACTTGATTTCTAATGTCATATCCTTGCATCTAGACACTGTAGAAACACTCTCAATAGTAGAGCTGTAAACGAGGACACCATTCTATACTAGGATTCTTGGACATTCCAATAGTAATTTGAATAAGTTTTTATTCATTGATTCGAATGGTTCCTAAAAAATATTGCATTGAATTGACTCCTTCAATCTCGACGATTGAATATGGATGGGCTATTATGATTTCGAGTAAGTCGTCATGGTGAAATCGGTAGACACGCTGCTCTCAGGAAGCAGTGCCAGAGCATCTCGGTTCGAGTCCGAGTGGCAGTTCGAAGTGGATAGTGGTTGGTATATCCAAATTGGTAGGCTATCTAGATTTGATTAAATATTTATGGATAATGAAATTGATTATTCGTATCCGACCTTGATTAAAATATTCGAGTTTCGATAATTTTATTTTTAAAAAAACTTGAAGACGGAAAAATGCTAAAGCAAATGCAAATAATATAATTTTATTTAAAAAATAATAAATCAATATTATATCCCCATTTATATTGAAAATAACAATTTAATGTTTTAAAAATAATGTAAAAAATACATATTAATGAGGGTATTTTAGTGTTGTAAATTTACAAAATTATATAATATAATATATATATATATATATATATATATAATCCATCCGATATTTATCGAATCGGATATATCGATATCCAAATGTATATCCGATTATAAATGGATAATAATAGTGTTATTTGAGTTCACCCCATTGGATACCTATTGGGATAATTATTTGAGCAATTAAATTTGTATCCATTGACACCCCTACTCAATGGGTAGGCTAATATCCAAAACGAGAGGAGCAGACATGTGCAACTTGAGCGAGTTGGGTTAGGGGCCAACCTAAGCCAACTCCAGGAACAGAACATCATGAACATGACATACCTAGGCCCTACTTTCAACCCAAGGTAAGCCTAATAATATATGAAATATGTCGGGGAATAAAGATAATTTTCTCCTCAAATTCAAATTTGCCAGATACAACTAGGACCGGAACGCAAATGAAAAAACATTTCTAGAAACCAAATTCTGCCACTTAGACTTGTGGAGTCTTATATAGAATATCAAAACAAAAGTTATCTAATTTCTACCTATTATTAAGAAATTACAATCCGATTGAGTACCAAAACAATAAATATGGATTCATGATTTGATTTATTCTTTATGAATGAGATAAAGACAGTATACCCAACCGAGTCCGTCTATGGGTACTCCCAATTATACTCTCAAATATACTCCCTAATCCTAACCGTTTATAACCAACCAGTAAGGGCCAAGATTTTAGTTGGTTTATTTTGTCTTTTCTATTGCCACATCAGTTGGAATCCTAACCGTTTAATAATTGAGAAAAACAGTTAGGATTAGGGAGTATATATGGGAGTACACTTTGGAACCTGGTACCTCCCCCCAAAGCAGGGGATACACTACCCTTAACTAAAGAAAATCACTAAACCTTATTATAGTGTGTAATTATTACAATAACAACCAAAATATTTAGCACAATTACAATGAATTCTAAAAAAATGTTGGTATCTAAACAAAATATTCATTTGAATCCTCATTCAATCTAAAAACAATAAACAGAATGCAAACATTTTTAGTATCCAAGAAAGGCATATTGCAACCTTTGTTTCGAATTAATCACTGGACTGTTTGCAACACTAATTATGTCCCAGTGATTTTTTAGCTGTTGTTGATCATATTTCAACCTAGTTTGAAGGTAACTCTTTCACAACTTTCTTCCAAGTAGATGATTTGAAAGTTGATCCTAACGATGTTTCCAAAATGGACTTTATTTATAAGTAAATTTGCAAACAATTACCTATTTGGATACTTGTTTTAAGGGTCTTAATCACTTTTACTGATTACAATTATAATTTGACCAAACAAACTTAATACGTTAATTAAGTACCTATTAGTTGTGTTGCCAAACACCCCATACTCAAGCATCTATGTTTTTCTTCACTGGTTTCTCGATTCTGAAATAATTTAATAAACAATACCTAACTAATAAATTGTAAAATGAACAAAATTGAAGTTCACAAAAAAAATAGAGGTCGAATAATTTCTAAACTAGCACTTGATAAAACATTCCTTATTTTGTATAGCAATTCTTTTTTTTTTTTGAACGAAGGTATCCGGGTCTCTTAGAGCACCTGACTAAGTCCCTCAGGCTATGCAAATCCTCTTATACTACACAATCAGGAAAATCGGGATAAATCACAAAGGGTGGCCAACAAGGGAAGGAACTTGAACTCAAGACCTCTGCTTTTTGAGGCGTGGTCTTGGCCACTAACCCAACCCCTCGCCTAAAAGTTGCCAAATAATATCTCTCGCCCATGACGCCACGTGTCTGTCGTCCATATAAAAGGCCTCTAAAAACCTAGGTTGGGCAAGCTGACCAATTAGGGTTATAATATGTATAGGAAAATTATTAAAAACTCTTAATAGTACATACTATCGAGACTCGAGAGCTGTGCCGTTAAATTTTAAATCCAACCATCCACACGCACACATGCATGGAATGCGCTACCTTAATGCTTAGGTCAATTAGTTTGTGAATCAAGTGTCTTAGCTCTCGATAGTACCTATGGAGAGTTTCCGATCACTTCCCATATGTATAGCACTTTTCTTTGGTGACGAGGGTATCTGCGCCTCTTAGAGCACCCGACTAGTTCCCCCGGGCATGTGCAGAGCCCTCTCTCCACACGCACCAGGAAAGTCGGGATAAATCCGGAGGGTGGCCAACGAGAGTAGGGAATCGAACTCAGGACCTCCGCTTCGTGAGGCGTGGTCCTGGCCATCATAACCGTTTATAACCTATACATAATATATTTATTAAATAGTGTTTTAATAAAACAAGAGCTTTGCTTCCACGCACGAAGCAAAGCTCCCCATTTCAATGCAATGTTTAGTAGCAGTTTTGGGGCGGCCCAAGCCATTTGCAGGCCTAAAACAAAAATTTTAAATGAGGTTTTTTATTTTTTAATATTATTAAAAAAAATTAACTATAAATGAGACATTTTTAATATTGTAAATAGGCCTTTTATTTTTTAAAAATATTCTAAATGAGGCCTTTTTAATTTTATTTTTTTTAATGGGACCTAAAGTAAAGACTTTGATGGCTTAATGTAGGCCGGCCATGCAGTTTTGCAACTATGGGAAAAAATATAATTTTGTTTTTTCATAATTACATAATGACAATCATTTCAATAGAAAAGAGGAGATCCGCTTCAATGCAGTGAAACAAAGCTTTGGGTCATATTAAGACTCTATTAAATATTAGTTTTAAGTTTAATTATTATTATAATTTAAAATATTTATCAAATTATACATTTATCTATTAAATATACAAAATAAGTATATTTACTTATTTAATCATGAGTCAGTCTATAGGTACTCTCAAATATACTCCCAAATTAGTTCCCTAATTCTAACCGTTTATAACCAATCACTAAAGGTCAGGATTTGAGTTAACTTATTTTGTCTTTTCTAATGCCACGTCAACTTTAATCATAACCATTTAACAACTGAGATGAACGGTTAGGATTTGAGAGTATGTTTGAGAGTACACCTTAGGAGTATCTCTAAACTAATTCTTTAATCAATGATTTGTAAATTATTTAATTTGTATTTATTTATTTTACACTGATTTGGCTGGTGGGTTTAGAATAGGGGTCTCATGTTGGGTCATGTTTGGATTTACGAGGCGAGGGTATTTATAAAATACACAAACGACCCGACCCGAATACAATGGCTCTCGAATCTCGATCACTCCAAATGAAATCGGACGGACGATGTTCATTTTTCAAACATTGGTAAATAGCCCACCCGTCAATTCGTAAACCCTCTCTCTCAAATAGGGGTTTTAGTATCGGGGGGGAGAAAAGAAGTACTGGACGAAGCTCACGAAGGTACTCTTCAAGTGTCGAAAAACCATAACCCTAGATTTCACTTTTCTAGTTTCTGATTCTTATTGTTTTCTTCAAGTATCGTGGTCTTTTGTTTTTCATCTCGCTTTGTAGATTATGCTACTCTGCTTAATCTCTTCTGAAGACGACTTTAATTTCTAGGGTTTGATTTGCTTAGAGATCGATCGTGTATGTAAATGTTATAGTTCTATTCATTTCTCTTCTCTGTTAAATAGATACCTAATTTCTTATGTGATCTTGCTAAAATTTTGAAATCCTGATTATTGATTTAAAAAAAAAAATTAAGGAAAAAAAAGAAAAAGAAAAATAGATACCTAGTACTGCTGTTTTTTGATGGTGATGATGTTGAAGTTAAACGGTGTATCAATTTCTTAAAGCTTGATCGTCTCTGTCCATGTTTAATTTCATTTTCTTCAAGCTGTTTTAGTTCCTGTAATCTAGATGTTTAGTTGAAGGAAAGTATATGCGTGTTTCTGCGACTAATACTTCACATCAAATGGTTTTTGAAAGTTTACACTCAAATTTTTTTTTTTCCGGGGAAAGGGATGGTTGATGCTGATGTTCTTGGGTTGTATTGAGTGAAGATGGATTATGTTTAATCTGATATTATGTTCATAAGAATTATTATTTTTTTAGCCAAGATAGTTCATGCTTTTCTACGAATCAGTAGCTAACTAGAAGTAAGGGTTTAATACACTGAAGTTTCTGTGGCCTCCACGGCCTACCTTATCCCACTCCACACCCCATTCCCTTCTATTTTGATTTGATCTTCCTTTTTTTTCACCTGTTGGTGGGTATTTCTTTTAGATATATTTGTAACCATACAAATGATGGGTTAAGGTTGCGTGTTCCTAGGCATGCTTATGTTGCATTTCTTTAAGGTTTATGAAGTAAGTCAGCTGTGTATCATAGGTCAGACAACAGTGAAGGGAAGAAGAAGCTGATTATTTTCCCCATTTTCTGGAAGATATTCTTACAGTACAGTTGCAATAATTTAAGCTATGTTATATCATACTATAGTAGTCTTGGGTGTTTATGTTTCTTGGAGGAATTCCAACAAACTAGAGTCTGATACTTTGAATGGTGGCCATGGAAATGGATAACAATCTACTGAGGTGTCCTGTCCGCATAACATAGAAAATGGTGCTGATTGATGCAAATGTATTAACTATTAACGAGAGATGATAGACAGCCTTATCATTTGTGTCTTTGTGCTGAAACGGCCACTAGAAGTTCTGATAATAATGCATCCCATGCTTGTTTTAACTGTAAATAAAGAAAAATTTATGGTAATAAAATCTTTTCACACTCATTTGGCACACTAGAGGCATGTTTTCT